CAACTGCTATGGGCCCTGTCTGACCAAGCTGTGCCAAGGTATCGTAAGGCACCCCCCAAGTCAGCCCAAGGCAAGTGTTCCTGTCAGGAAGCGACCGGATAAAGAAGTTAAGCTCAGTCCGCCCCCCGCACAAGCCAAGGGTCCGCTCTTCTCCCCGGCGAAGGCAAAGTCGGTAACAGCCCAGCCACAGGAGATGAGGTCGGAAGGGAAGGAAGGCAGGCACCAAAACGACTCTGCAGATGAACACCACCCTCCGCCTCGGCCCTTTGCACACCCAAAGAAGTGTCCGGTCCAGTAGGGCCCGTTGGTTCGTTCAGCAACCGCAGGCTCAATCCCCCTGACATTTCCCTTTGGTGCAATGTCACCCAAGGTCGCCCCAAACCGGTTGAATACGGGAAACCTGGTAAACTGCTTGTTTCAGAGGACACCAAATGAAGCGACAACATCTTTCCCACACCAGCGCTGCCGCAAGTGGCTCAGGCACCTTCAATAGGATTTGTAGTTGCCCTGCCGTTCTGGAACAATGATGCCTCCAGTGCCGCCGTGGGCTGTTGGAAACACGCCAGAGCCGGTATCCCTTGATATCGACTGTTTCGTTGATGTTACCCCTTATGTCCGTTTTGAAACTGGACACAATGATATCGATTATGGGGTTCTGGATATCCAAGTCAGTTTCCAGCATGAAGGGCGTCACACAAGTGTGTACCTCCTACATTGTTTCGCGCTTGCAGAAAACTATCCAAAATGCGCGGCAGTTGTCCCTGGGTGGATGGACAATTTCGACTTTCCTCCGGCGCTTGCCAAAATGATTGCGCGGTACCAAGAACGCTCGATTAATGTCTGTGTACCACACTGCGTTGCAGTTAACGACAGAGGCATTAGCGTCTATGGCTCAAACAAGGGGTACCGCTGGCGCTTGGTTCGTCACATTCTCTACCACGAGCGACAGCTTTTGGAACTCTTTGAAACTAGGGTAGCGGCCTTGTCACGGACACCAATTGGTCATCCACCGGTCACGTGGTCCTGGGCGCGTCCGCAAGGAGTCTCTCCTCGACAGATGGGATGCTGGGCCCAACGAGATGGTGACCCCACGCAGGACCTTGGGGACCTTGGGGAAGCGTCGGGACAGCGCTTCACTGCAAGAGAGCACTACCGTGTCGACACGGCTCTCTTTAACAGAGTCCAAGCTATGATTGCGTCGCTACGGGATGTAGAACACCTCCTGCCGCTGATGCCTGGACCTGTCCAACGGCGCATGGTGCTCCCACTGGCTACGGCGCATGCGGACCTTAATGGCCTTCTGTTTACCGCCTATCTTCTCGCCAGTGTGTATCCGAACTCTGACGATTTTGATATTGGCTAAGTTGCATGTTGGCTGAATAACCAGAGCCCAGCCTGCTGCGTCGTGACAACCCCGTCCGGACCATCCTCAACTAGTGAAATAGCCTTTCTGGTTTCAATTCGCACATTAGGGGACCTCTATGAGCTGTCTAGGGCCCTTTGATCTTTCATTGATCTTTCTTTCCGTTTGGTTCCACCTTTTGTGGGCGGAGGTCCTGTTCAGAATAGGCGGACGAGTTTTCTGTTTTGTTGTGTTACCCCCGCTATAGGAAGAAACTCATATTTCTCATTTTTCTCGTCCTGTGAGTCAATTTGAGAGCCGATTTGAAAGCGCTGCCTCCCAACTGTAGCGGGACAGGCAACAGCAATGGCAAGGTCGACGTTGTCAGTGAACCTGCAGCCCCTTTGGCTCCCAGCAGCCGCAGTCACTTCTCCAGGAGCCGGTGCGCGCCAGTGCAATCCACCCGTGTGGAGGGCACCTCGAGTTGTGTTGAAGTTGTTCATTGGCTTGTAGTCGCAATTGTTGCCTTGGTCGTGTTTCAAGCCTACTAACTCAGGCAGCCAACCCGTGTTGGTGGCCTCCACCTAGTCGCCCAGTGCATAGTCGCCAGCCAACTTCATGGCGTACAATGTAGAGGATCCATGGGCGATAAGTGACCATGGTGGAGATGTTGATATGTTAGGGCACGACTTAGATATCATGGATGTTTCAGAAGACGAGCGTGTCCGTACTGCTCCCTACCTGCATTCCAGCCCAGGGTGGATTACCCAGCAGAAAACGCACGCTTTCTTGCATGGATGTCCCCATACTGAGCACCAGGCTAAGGCCCAAGCATATCAGGCCCTTCGTACACCAACCGTAGCCCAGTCCTTCCTCGGTCTTGATACTGACATGGGTCCCTGTCGAATATCGGACGTTCGGAGCTGTCTGGTCAGGGCCCCAACACCGTCACCATTGTTGAATGCCTACTCCAACACAGGGAGATCATAGAATCATGTGGCATGGTCTACTTAATTGTGGACAACCGTGGCCCAGAAGCAGTGGAACATTGGCCTGCCTTTGCACGATGGTGGTCTGCGCGTCGTGCGCTTGTCGGACCGCAGCAAGAAAAGACAGATGCCCTGTGGACCCAGGCAAGTCATGCTAATGGCCTGCGTGCAGTCCCTTACTACTGGGCTGGGGTTTTTGCGCTCGAGGCTGCCAGGTTTCTATTCCCAAAGGTGCATTTTGGACTCATTGACAATGACTGTGTTCCTGTCACGCTGTTTGAAGTGCAAGACTTAGTCGCTCTAGCGGAAAGCCAGTTTCGATGGCCTGACTTGGTAGGGCACTACACTGACCCGGATCTTGCCTGCAGCAAGCTGGGCATGCTACTGTTCACAGAAGCACACCTTGAATATAATGCCGGTCTTGTAATCTCCATTGGTAGTACAGGCCGCCCTAGTCCAGTTGAAACCACTTCCACTGCAGAATGCCTAGCTGAGGAGCTTGCTGATTATCGACATCAACTCTTGGCCATGGCGACTCCGCCAGAATGTCCGACGGACGCTTCTCAAGGGGGGTCTTTATTTACCCCGCTCATAGGGGTTCCTATGGAGAACCCGCTTGATCTTGCAGTCGTGTGGGCTCTATACGGCACATACATGTGTCACAACTTCTGGCCGATGCCTTGCAGAGGGAACATGGACAATGGTGGTGACGCGGAACCAGCGCCGGTTAAGTGGCCTAAACGGGCTCATCCTGGTGCTCTTACTCAAGCTGGCCAAGAACGCACACCTTGGCTCACAAGCTGGGCACGTGCCACCTTCGAACAAGGATGCCTGTCAGTATTGCCTCACCTGGAAGGACCCTGTAAAGCGATGTCGTTGCCAGGTGAACATCTCTTCCAAGCCAGTCGAATTGTCCCGGACAGAATGCGACCGATCATTTTTCATGCCTTTGGAAAAGCGAAGCTAGATGCGCCGCTCCAACTTGATCGACTAGCTCGCCAAGGCTGGGAAACCCTGCCCATAGCCCTCTTAGGCATGCCGCACTGTCCAGCCGCATGGTCCTTTGAGTCATGGAAGCCGATTGGAGGGTGTTGCTTTACTGGCGGACCAGTGGCACTTACCCGCAACAGCGCCTTTCGCTTCTGCCTTATGCTGCAATGGCATGCAATTGCAACTCCCCCGACGGCACTTTTCCCAGGTGTATGCGGTGAGGAGGATACTGATGTCGAGTCAGCCCGCACCCTATCAGAGCCTGATCAGAATTTTCTTGAGCGCACGCTTTTAACGGCAGCCACCGACCAGAACTCCCGCGAGTCCGGGTCACGTTTGCCAGAGAGATTGCCGGCTGCAGAGCTGCCCTGTCAGCGACCGAACAATCCACAATCAACCACGCCGGCGCTATATGTGCCATGGCAGGAGGTTGCTCAGCACATGGGCATTCCGGTAGTGCATGAAGAACCCACTGCGGACCTCCGAACAATGTTTTAACAAGCCATTGGCATTCTCCCCACAGAGGAACAAAGAGATTTTCATCAATTGCAAGGTGCTGCCTTCAGCCGAATCCCTGAGCAGATGGCACCGGTCGAAACGGTGGCCTCACTAGTCATGGATTCCATGTATGAGGTACATCCTTGGGTTCCTTATTGGGAAATCATCCTCTGGCACATGGACGCTCTTATATGTGGCTTACCGGTGACGTGGCCGAGTTTTTGCAGGCGCACACACACTTTGACACTTTCTTTCATCACTGCCAGTATGGATCGGCTAGGCGTAAGCTCACTCGCTTAGTCCTCAACATCCCTACTTTCCTAGCCCTTGACAAACTTTGTGACAATTCGCATGAGCACGAGCCTTGGGGCTATCAGGATCATCAGTGGGCCACGGCTCTGGAGACAGCCTATCCTTGGCCCTTGTGCCGTGCGCTGGCCCAGTCGCTTGCCTTGTGTATGCAAGACTTGGGAGCTATATGTAAGACCCCATCTTATGCCTTGCAGGAAGCATCTTTGCAATCACTTCGAGCCGCCACCGACATTCAACCTAGAAAGCATTTACCGCCTACGGTTTCCGAGTTTGCTTGTGTCATAGAGCATCCCCTTGATACCCCCATGCCTTCCTTGGCTTGCAAACTGTCCACTCCTGTGTTGGGGTCCTCCGCGAGTGGGTCAAATACAGAGAGTCAAAAAGTGAAAATTGGAATTCACTGGTCTCCTCAAGAGTTCATAGAGAAGGCTTTGGAAGTAGGGCACCCCATACTGGTAGAAGACATCTTCCCTGTCGACGTGAGGAGAGCAAGTTGGTGTTGTGTAGGTAGAGACGAAGCCTAGACCGCGGTACACAGGACAGAAGCCATCAAGAAGTGGATCAGTTTGATTGGAGAGCTTGAACACAAAGAGGTTGAGCTAAAGAGTAGCCTGCCCACAAGGATTGCGGAAGTTTTAAAGGCAAAACGCTTGGTTCTGTTTAAGACCCTTCTCGAAGAAGCAAATCACCCAGACGACCTAGTCACAGATTTGTGCAAAGGTTTTGACTTGACAGGCAGACTGCCTGAATCGGGAGTGTTTAAACAGAAGTTTAGGCCGGCCTCGATTTCCAAAAGCAGTCTGAGGGAATTTGCAAAAGTAGCCAGATCCTTTTTCTTGATTAGCTGCAAGAGTGCAGGGGACGATGAAATGGACAAGGCGCTCTACGATGCCACTGTCAAAGAGGTGCGTAAAGGGTTCATTGAAGGCCCTGTGAGTTTTTGTGATGTGCTTGAAGCAACTTCCCTGACCAAAAGGTTCCCTGTGCGGCAGAAAAATAAGATCAGGCCTATCGATGAATATCGAGCCTCGATGGTAAACAGTGCAATGACCCAGCCGGAAGCTGTGTCCATCTACACAATTGACCACATTTCCGCCATGGTTAGCTATTGGTTGAAAGCTCTTCATGGCCAAGACCAATCCGTGCAGCTGGTTTCCAAGTGCTGGGATTTGGCTGACGCGTACAAACAGGTTCCGATATCTGAAGAGTCGTTTGAGTATGGAGCCTTTCTAGTGGTTTACAACCCAGCCACCTAGAGGCCGGAAATCTATAAACAGAGGGTTCTGCCCTTTGGTGCAATAGCTTCGGCGACGTCTTTTTTGAGGTGCGCTTTGGGTTTGTGGACCATTGGCACAAGGTTGCTAGACCTGGTTTGGTCAGCATACTTCGACGACTTCCTTTGCGTCACCAGCGACGCTCTCAGCAAACACACAGATTTGTGCGTGAGTGTCCTCTTCCAAGCCCTTGGGTGGGAAATCTCCGATCACAAGTTAATCCCCTTTAGCACTTGTTGCAGGGTTTTGGGTGTAGAGCTTGACTTTGGAGACACCAAGTTATGGCAGGGGCTTTTTCAGAACACGGAAGATCGCAGAAAGGAATTTTTGGATGAGCTTGATGCCGTGATTGCGACCAAACTTCTGAAGAAGCACCCTGCAGAGAGACTTCGTGGAAGACTTCAGTTTGCATCGTGCCAGATGTTTGGCCGTCGCATGAATAGGTGTCTCAGAGCCCTCACCAGTGACATAATGTCGGGCAGAAGTTCTCTCTCTGAATCCACAAAGGAGAAGTTGGAAGAGATGAGATCCTTGATCGAAGAAAACCACCCCAGGGCTTTGGCTGAGCATGTGCACATGTATATAGATTCCTCTTTCGATCGAACCGGTTACTAAGGCATCGGAGGCGTGCTTTTGTCTGGAGAAGGTGAGCTCTTAAGATGTTTCAGCGAGGAAGTCCCTCCTGAAGTCATTGACCTTTTCTCAAACAACGAAGACTCGGTCGTCATTCATGAAATCATTGACCTTTTCTCAAACAACGAAGACTCGGTCGTCATTCATGAGCTTGAAACTCTGGCAATCTTCGTGGGACTTGAAGTGTGGAGGGAACTTCTCACGAGTCGCAGAGTGGTCGTTTTCACCGACAGTGAGGCGACGCGTGGCAGTCTCTTGAAGAGCTGGAGCCGCAATGACGGTGCAGATCTCGTGCTGGAAGACATCTTTGAGTTCGAGGAAGCTCAAAGCATTGCACTCTGGTTCGAACGGGTCCCAAGTCAAAGCAACCCTGCGGATGAGTTGTCTCGAAGCAGAATGGCTGTGTGGCATGGAAGAAAGTGTGACACATTTGACCTAGCACGTTGGCATTCCAAGTTCGTCCACAAGTTGGGGTGAAAGCGCGACGAATTTCGTGTCCGATCCCAGAGAGAAAAAGAGTTGCGCGTGTGAGTCTTGCTGTGAACAAACGTGTTTTCTTGTGAAACGTTCTCATGCATGGCAATCACAGAGAAAAATAAGTAAACTCTCATGAAACGAAGTGGCGTGACAGTGCTTTATTTTTCCTAAAGTGTTTGCTAAACGGAGGATTGCCGAAGTGTTGCATGAGTTTCGTTTTCATTTGATCTCAGACTCACACTTCACGTGAAGTCGGGCTCAAGTAAGCCCTTACCACAAGGACGGGTTAACTTAGCTCATGTTGTTTTGTTTACAAATCATACATATTCTACTTACCGTGAACTTATCTCGTGAGATTTAAGCTGATTTATAAGTTGACTTATAAGTTAGTGTAAGTTTGACCAGCGTTTTTGGAAAAGTTTGTTTTTGCATTTTTTTGATTTTCACGTTTTTCAAGTTTTTCTAGGTTTTTGTTTCAATAATTTTTTTTATCATTTTTCAAAAAACCTATATTTTTGCGCATTTTTGGAATGGCGTCAGAAAACCTTTGTTTTCTATGGTATACAGCGGGCACACCGCCACGTCTTCAACCTTCTGCTATTGAATGAACGCTCTATACCACATGCCAAGACTGAAGTATTGGTTGCTACACATGCCACAAGCAATCCTACAGCGGAGGAACCGCCAACAATCCTACAGCGGAGGTATACCGCCGAATTGAACCTACAGCGGAGACACCGCCCTCAACAAGACAGCAAGACCTACAGCGGACGCACCGCCTCCACAGGAAGAATCTGTCACAGGAAGATGTCTGAGTCTATATACATTATATATATATATATCAACATATGTAAATATTGGTGCTCCACAGGAAGTACACCGTTTTTCGAAAATTGACTTGGACCCTCCATCCCAAAAAAGACCCGACTACATCTGACTACACCCCGACTACATTCTGACTACATACGTCATCAGAACGAAGTCAGGCCCAACTACATTCTGACTACATACGTCATCAGAACGAAGTCAGGCCCGACTACATTCTGACTACATACGTCGTCA